GTATCAAATAGTACATATTGCTTGAGATCATCTCTGTTGCAACTACTCAGCCTGATTATTGTTGCATGCAAAGAACTAGAACCAATGCATAATGAATGGAGATGGTTGTGTTTCAATACACTTCACTTATGAAAACTGATATCTGATTTCTGAATAATGTTTCTTTATTATGGAATGCTATTCTTTTTTCCCTCAACAATTTAAAAACTTGCCCTTGATTCATGGACGCTGCAGAAACATAGATAGGACTGACCTGGATGGTCCCTAAGAGAAATCTCTTTGTTCTCATGCTAAGAGAACAAAATAATATTTGCAAATTCCTATTTTCTGTAATCTATAGTACGATGTCAGTTATGAAAAACATTCCTTCCCTGGTCTTCATGTCTGTGATAAGTTCAGGGTCTGAATCAGATGCAGCTTGTGTGTCTACTATGATGCACTTGGCCATATTTCCTACTTCATAGAGCTTGGAGATCCTTATAGAATTTTTATGCTGATTTCTGTTTCCATGGCCTTCAGGCTGAGATTACCCAGGATTCGCAGTGAGGTAATCATTGAATTAGAAACTTTTAAGCTAAAAACTTTAGAAATTAGGTGCAGCATCTCATGAGCTGTGGGGAAAAGCCTGAAGAACTATACTTTGGGGAAGGTATTGTTCACTTCTAAGTAATTCAAAACTGTTTCTATTTCACTTCTTTCAGCTTGCTTTGTTAAGAGGGAAAGTCCCTTAAGGAATGGAGAAAGAAAGAGTCAAATTACTATTCTAGAAGATGGTTCACAGTAAGACTGATGAGAAGGCATAAGTCCTCACACATCTCTTGACTCCTTGGACTCTGCTATTATTGCTGAGCCCAGCTATGTGATGCAACTGATGCTATCAAGAACTTACTCTGATTGCCATCAACTCTAGGTACTCAGGATGACAATGACAATTTAAGTTAGTAATCAGAAGACTCCCAAATAGTTGGATGGACAGTGGTTATGGTTCTTAACTTTAACTGATTCTAAAACCTGTGTGAAAGAGCCCAACACTCCTGCCCACCAAGGCAACCAGATAGAAGGTGTAGCAATGTACAGAACTCTGAGCAGAATAGTATCAGCAGGTACCCATAAGACAAAGGTTTTTATAGTAAGGATGGTGTAGATATTTCCAGTGGGTGACTAAGTGACGCAGTGAATCACAACATTTCCTCTCAAACCCATGCTGCCTCCAACAAGGTTTTATTTTCATATAATCCTCTGTAACAACCTTTGCTCCTCCCATAAAAAAGTCTATGGATACTGGTACATAAATGAACAAAGTTTATGTAGAGCGATATTATAACTTAATGTTTACATCTCCTATGGGACTTTTCACATTCTATTGTTTGAGAATGTTATAGTGAAAAGAACTTATGGAGGCCACCAAGTTCTGCTTGAGGCTCTAAGAAGCAAGGATGGAGAAGATCCTGGCAAAATTCTGATTCCTCTCTTCAGCATCTCTTCAGTCTTTTGGTTCTCATCTGCCCTAAGTTTTATTATAGGAGCTTTGATAGGATCAGCTCTGTGTGGCAAGGACTTGGACTTTAAGCAAACTTTTATGGACTTTTCTGCTTCTTAGTATTATAACAACAGAATGTTTTGACACAATTAGACCCTAAACAAACATCTGAAATCACTTAGGATGCCCATTTAACTTTTTTCATCTAATTAAAAAGTGAAAAGACAATTGTTTTAAGATTACACAGGCAGACATACATTTATATGAGCTTGCTTTTTACATTTTGAGATAGCCAATATGTGATGAATTTGTGTATGGAATTATAACCTCATGAAAGGAGATTACCATTTTCTGCTGAGACAAACTTAACTGCACTGGATCTTAATGGTACTGTTATAATAATTAAATCCAAAATATTTCATAAGCCTACACATTCCCTAGAGTAATGTTCAGCATTAGCAAAGGATGAAAACCCAAACAAGTACATGTATATTCAATAATAAAGTTTAATAGGTCAGGGAAGGACCTCCATAGATGACTAGATTGATTTTACCTTCCTAGTTACTTCCTTTTGTTTATTGGATCTGAATATATGCATTGAATTATCCTTTAATAACAAGTAATCCTATATCAGTCGTGTTGCTTGGGACTGGTAATGTCCATAGTTCTGTATAGTTACTGACTTTTTTTCCAGATTATAAATTGGAGAGAATTTAATTTGCAGATAGATAGTTGACAATGAAGTAAAATAAGTTGAATTTGGGCTTCCATTCTCCAGCTGCAGATGTGTTCTTCCTAGCTAAAGGAAAGTAACCTAAAGACCATGAGCCAATGTCTGGATTCAAACTTGAAATGTTACTAGACATTTCCTGAACCGTCACTGTTTATCTTAAGATTACTCATCAAATTAAAACAATAAGAACACAGGTGAGTGGAGAATTTCCTTTGTGATTACTTAATAGCATTAGTAGTGTCCTTTTTTTTTATCCCAATCAAGGTGATATCTTTCCAAACTAATGACTGCTAGCATACATTTTACACTTTCATGAAGTAGTTTGTTGGCTCTTGTTGTTGCCATTTCCCACAACCAAAGTATCAGTCCATTGAAGAGATGAGGAACATACACGAGCCTCATAGATCATAAATTATGTAGCAGAGATATCACAGATTATGACTGACCTGTGTTCACTCCAGGTTAATGTAGTTTGTGGGTTCATTTTTGTTGTTGTTGATTTATGTCATGCAATCATTGTTTATCATTTGTATCCCCTAGGAAAACATGAACTTTTAATTTCTGGCTGTAGATGGTTTGGATTCCATGTTTGCTCCCATGTCTTCTACTTGTGTGATCATAAGCAAGTTTTGAAACATCTGTAAACCTCAGAATTCTCATCTAGAAAGTAGGGTGAACAACAGACCTCCTCCATAGGATCATCGCGAGTGTTAAATTTTGTGCTTCTGATCGAATATGTAACTCTTGCATGGGGCATGGTTGTGTACGCCTTTATTCCCAGCACTCTGGAGACAGAGACAGGAGGTTGTCTGTGATACTGATGCCACTGTGGTCTATATAACTAGTTCCAGGACAGCTTGGGCTACAAAGTAGTCCCTGTGTCAAAAAAAGTGCAACACTTTGACACAGAAAATTTACTGCTATACATGGTTCAATCTCTCACTATCTTGCTGATCATTTAGACATATAGTTACAGATAAATTTGTTCCATGTGTGTGCACCCATGCACACATGCACACACACAGAGCAAATTGTTTTATAAAGAGAAGCATGGGTAGTTTAAAAATATTTGTTCCATAGCTTATAAGAATGATGGAAGTCTTCTTTTCCTATGATGTTCTGTTAAGAACTTTTGTTAAGAGTCACAAACCAGAAACTTCAATGGAAACACAAAGACACATATTTTTTTCTCTAAGGTCTTCAAAACATCCATTATTCTCTTGAAGGACAGTCATAAATCCTGCCAGTTTAATTTATTTGAAACCAACTCTAGCAGCTGTCCTTGTTATCAATCGTCCTTTGTATCAGTCTTTGGTTTTTCGACCTCAATGAACACATCATGGACCTCTAAAATAACGTTTTCCCTTAAATCAAGTCAGAAGATTCATTTTCACTTCTGTCTTCTTTCTTATAGATAAAGGACACAAATGGGAATCCAGAAATGGAATTTTAGATTGATGTTGTAGTAACTAGCTTTGTGACCTTAGTAAAGTAGCTCGTCTCTCTTATCCTTTCCTTCCTGGTCTACAAAATAAAGTTGGTAGGCTCTATCCTTCCTGGAAAGATGTTGTAAAGAAGAGTGAAGTGAATCAATTGGGTTCATTACCCACGTGGGTGTTAGGGACTGGAAATGAGGGACATTGTGGAAATGTGCGCTGTGATTCAGCCACAGCTGGGAAGCTGACAGCGGAAAGAGACATTCTTTTTCAGACAGTTTTCCATAGAAAGCTTCTGTATAGGACTGGGGGTCTGAATGAGCCATGGGAAGGCAGGTAGTATCATTTCCAGAGTTGAGGAATAGAATTTGGCTTCAGAGCTGAGTTTGATGCTGATCTAAGGAACACACTTGGGATTTAGGAACTGGTTCAGAGAGGCTGATAGTTACCCTAAATTAATCCTCATGATGAGGTCTAAAGTTGTATTTAATAAATTAAAATATGAAGACAAATTGATCTTTGAAGGCTGTGCACCTGGAACTTTAAGATAATAAGGCTCTCTTCCTACTCTAGCTCAAGCTTGAAGGTAGTGGAAACAGATGACATTGGAATTAATACTCCTGTCAAAAACTGTGTGCTTTGTGTGCCCAATAAACAATTTTGAAAGTGCTAATTCATCACCAAAATCTAGACCTGTCATATTTTTCAGGTACCTTGCCTTATGAAAGAAAGATTTCTTATACACATGAAGAGTCCATATCTCTTGGATCAAATTTTACAGGACGAGATGTGTCATATATCAGAAGGTTAATGACTAGCCATTTCTCAGCCAGCTCTTTTGTGGCCACTGAGAAGCCAGCAGCAGAGGATACTGAGAGGCCCTGAAAGTTGACTCGACCTCTGTCATGCAGAGAGCACCAGCAGGCAACACTAACAGCTCCAGAGAAACCAGCCACTGTTACCATTCCTCTCTTCTTGTCTGGGAGAGTCAAATAACCTTGTCCTGAAGATACGTAGTCCCATGCCCCTGCCCTCCTACATAGTGATTGATCAGTATATTTACTGTATTTTCATCGTCAAAATATGTAGACTCCAGTCACCTCTTTAGATGCTGAAGTTGTCTCCCCCGCCCTGATTTAGGGGAAGGTAGAGAAAGGAGATATACATAGAGTATGACATAAATATAAGAGCTTAAATATCTAATTAGCTGAATGAATCTTGGTTCTTTCTGTACGTTTTGGCAGAATTGCACAGATTGTAGCACAAGCATCGTATTCCCATTGCAAGACAGATGTGAGGTTGAGTTTGACAAGATGCTTTCTAACATGAAGGCCACTCCGATTTCTTTCAGGATGCTTGAAGATGACCTGAAGTTGAGCAGTGATGAAGATGACCTTGAGCCTGTGAAGACCTTGACCACTCAGTGCACAGCCACTGAGCTCTATCAGGTAGGAGGAGCTTACAGATTTGTGCTGGGTCTGAAGGAGGGAGAACACAATGAAATAGAATAGCTTTCATAAACACAACCTTCCTCCTTGTTTTATTTCTGGGCTTTGGAGGGACGAAAAGAAGCAAAGGTGGACAGTGTTTCACAGCAGGTCAAATCAGGTGCTATTTTCGCTGAGCTCTTTAAAACTGATTTTACTACCTTTCACCTTCTCTATTTTGTGTACACACATTCTGCTTATCAATAAACAAAAGAGGTTGTCTTTCCATCTCTTTGTATGGAATGCCATGGTTCGTCGGTGACTCCATGTGAAGCTCAGAGGCACAGCCTTTCATTTAGGTAGAAATATGACTGCTCCATTCACCTTTCCCAGATGCATCACTTCCAAGTATAGCTGAGAATAAATCCCACAATCTTATTGTGCTCTTTCTTAACCTTAAATGCACTTAGCAATACTGTCTGTTGCCCCTGTCTTCTCTTCTACATTTTAAATATTTCTAGTACTTTCTCACCAAATGAGAGGGCAAAAACATATCCTTTTATCTTTGAATGATCCCGAATTTCTTGACTTTAAAAATCCAAACTGTCAATGTGGGGTTCTTCTGGTTATATATACCATCACATAAGGACTACAGAAGGATTTTCTATGATATGTAGATCTTGCTTGTGTGTAAGTATGGTCGTCTATCAATTGCAATCACAAGGTGAGTGCCAACTACATTGATGTAGCCTAAGGCAAACTCACAATGTTTCCTTGAAGGTGACTCCTACACATTTAACATATACAAGCAGTTCCTCTCCTACTGGTATTGTCGGCCTTGTAACAAATGTGAAACACACACTTCATTTCCAGTGTCTGTCAATTCTGCTTTCTGCATTAAATATGCCAATAAAAAGAGCATCACATTTGTAAATAAAATAAAAACAAAGCAAAAAATCTAGATCATTGATTTTGACAGCTGCAACCTTAAATTTTAATGGAAGTGTTTAAAGCAGAATGTAACAATAACTGAAAATAAATTTTGCACATTGATTTCCTCTCTATATGAATATATAAAGACAATCTGCTTTTTAACACACAGGGTTATTTTCCAGATTTATGTTAAGAAGTGGCATCAGATCTGTTGACCCAAATCACCTGGGTTTTTTAGATTACTTTGCCGACATTATGCAAATCACTGATATCCCTGGATCCTCAGGACTGACGAGCTGGAAATGTTAATTACCAGCTGACTTTACATCAGCCATGACTTCCACGAGGCTTGAGTTCTCACGTTTCGTAGAAAGTTTGAAATAGTGATGCTTGCATAAAGCAAATTAATATAGCTGACTCTAGGAAACAGAAAATGGTCACAAGGTTACAAGAGACCCATAAGGTGGTAGTAGTCCTGTAGTAATGGCGAAAGCATTTAGTGAACTCTAGGTTTAAGAATCATAGCATTCTTTTCCAAGGCTATATGAGTTAAAGTTGTTTTCTTTTTTATAATAGTAAACTTTACATAACATAAAAGTCACTATTTAGAAATTCATAGTTCAGTGATATTCAGTACATTGCAAAGCTAAGCATTGTTAGCATTCCAAATGGACACACTATACGTAGGGAGAGATTTCTCCTCATCCTCATTTCCACTAGCCCCTAATATAATTTTTGATCACTAATATACTTTTTTTGTCTTCATGGATGTGCCTGTTTTATATAATGGAATCATGTTTACCATGTGGTTTGTTTTTCCAGCTATTTCAGATTGTAAAATATATTAACATTCCATTCAATTTTATGGATGAATAATATTCTATTGTATGGATAAACCACACTTAGTTGCATCTGTTGATGTAGTTTTCAATTGTTTCTGCCTTTTGGCTACTATTTTTAGTACCACTGTGAACAACTGAATACAAGTATTTTTATGGGCATAAATTTTGGCTCCAATTTTAGCATGGACCAAGAAGTGAATTCTCTGGGACCTATGGTAATTTGATGTTTGGCTTATTAAGGAAGCAGAAGAAATTGCTTTCATCCAGATAACATAGGGCCATGTATATAATCATGTATACAATAAGTAAAATAAATTCCTTTACCTCATTTTCAGGAACATTCTCCCTCCAGCAACATCAAGATGAGGAATAATAATGAAAACACTGTTTTTTGTTTTTTTTTTTTTTTTGAGTCATCCTTGCTTTTTACCAGAAACCAGCTAGGTATTATTTCATTCTTACCTCATGTCAACACAAAATTATAACTCTCAACTCAAAGGGGAATAAGAGATTATTCTGGAGCCACATATGAGTGAACATGGCCTGGGAACACAGATTCAGGTTACCCCAAATTCTATGTTCCACTGTGGTAACAGTTGCCTTACTTTTTTTTTTTTTTTTTTTTTTTTTTTGATTTATGTGTGTGTCTGTATATGTGTTTGTGCACATGCGTGCAGATGCTTACAGAAGCCAGAAGAGTGTTAGAGTCCCTGGAGCTAGAGTTGTAGGTGGTTGATTGTTAGCCTCCCAATTTGGGTACTAGGAGCTGACTTGACTTGGGTCCTCTGAAAGATCAGCAAGTGCTCTTAACCACTGAATGATCTCTTATTTTTTTGCAATATTATCGCACTATATAGATAAGGCTGGCCTCAAACTCATAGAAATCCACCTGCCTCTGCTTCCCAAGTGCTGGGATTAAAGGTATGTGTCATTACACTGGTGGTCTGCAAAAGTAATACGTTTTATTAGTCACAAGAATGTTAATTCAGAAACAGAGGTAGGCAATGTTTGGCTATTTATGGAGTTAATGATATCCCCAGATAATCTGTGAATAGGCTCCGGATCTGCAACATTCCAGACTCTCCACAGTCTCCTGAGTGATAAACAGTTGGTGAGCCTTGCAGGAAGTTCAGTCCAAGGTGCAGGAGTTCTTTTGGGAACTTTCTTTCACGCTCATAATGAACTATAGAGATAGTGTGGTCTCCAATTTGGGTGAGAGAATTACAGGATCATTTCTATTTGTGGTAGGATTAATTGGAAGAAAGTATATAGACAAATGTATCAGCCCATTAAGTGATAGCCCTGCAGAGCCAGAGTGCCCTATTGGTTTGAGACAATATTACAGTTGGAACTTTCTCAGGGCTCAGTAGCTGCATTCGTGCCAACACAGTCTAATAGTAAGCCATTCATGTTTTGGAGATCTCCCCAAATCATCTCATTCATAATCTTTATCTGCTGTTTCATGTGAGAAAATTCAGTGTCTAAGTTGAGGGAATATGTACATTTCTTAATTGTCCTTATTCCATAGTTTGGAATATAAATAATTCAAAAGGAATGCATTTCAGCTGTACATATGAAGATGAACAATGCATCACATCTTCCATAAAGAAGTGATAGTGATGATACCCTGAATATATTTGTAAAATACTTATGTTTACAGAACTGAGGCAGATAGCACAGTGGCCAACTCTCTTCCTATGCAAGCATAAGGACAGGGGTCTGAACCCCCAGTACTCCTGTAAAATCCAGGCAAACATGGCAGCCACCTGTAATCTCAGCACTTGGCAGGGAGAGACATTGGATCCCTGGAACAAGTTGGGTAGCTAATCTAGTCAATCAGTGAGCTCTGGGTTCAATTAAAACGCCCTGCAACAATGCATAAAGTGGAGTGCTGTCTAGGAAGGCACTTGATGTCAACTTTGGGCCTCCACATGTACTCACACACATATACATATGCCCACAGACATGCAAATGTACATATGAACACAGCACAAAGAGAGAAAGAAAAAAGAAGAAAACAACAGGTGCTTTCTACAAATCCCTACTGCAGTTTACTTTTTGATGAGCACCTGCTAAGGTGCTGTACCAGTGCTGGGACCATATCGAAGAATGAGTGTGGAGATATCCATGTAGTTGGACAGATGTGGGTTTTAATCCTAGTCCTGTCACTTTCAAAGTGGCAGCAGATCTAAGTTTTTATAAAATGCAGACAATAATAGCACCTACCTCAGTGGGTCACAGTACATTTGATAAAGAAGTGAATCCATGCAGATCAAAGCACTTGACACTAATCTTAGCATCTAGCAGGTGCTCATCAGTTTACATGATTATGTTCATCGTTGTTACTGGTACTACTAACAATCCAAAAGGTCTAGTATTCTTTGAAATTCCAGTTCTAGCCTCATTCTCTTTTCTTGTAAAGATTGGGAAGACAAAGAAAGCTGCTGAATTGTGTACATGAAAAATAATCAGCTTGTAGAAAACTTGAATGAAAATTATCTGTGTTGTCCTAATGCATACAAGTTGTGTGAGTGCCTGGCCATGAGAAATTTAAAGTGCAATTATTAAGAGTATAGTTTCTGGAATTGAGAAGTCTGGACTTAAATCCCTCTACTCACATACTAGGTACATTACATTTTGGCAAATTAACTAAAATTCTGAAGACTGGGATCTCCTACCAGTAAACTAGGATAAAAAGTTTTGTAGAAGTCATAAGAATATTGTGAGAATCAAACAAAGACTAGGTATGAGAAAGCATGTGGAAAACTGTACACACGAGAAGTAAGTGGTTATGTTCCCTTGTAGCCCTTTTAAATGTTAACTGGAAGTTCTCACTTTTAGATACACCGGGAAATCAATATTGCTCTTCTTTATGGCATACGTGTCCATACGATTGACCAAGAACTAGATTGCATGTCCTAACTTGCATTCAAAGATATCCATCAGATGTGAATGACCTTAACTCCCCCGAGTCCTGACAACTTTTAAACCAATGTTTCCAGAAATAAAGGCTAGGTCACCAATGACACTGTATCAAATTCTCCAGGAAATTACATCTCTGAAAGTTTTTCTTGAAAGGGCTGATATAGATGGACAGTCGAGTTATACACTTTGATTTCAGATAGTCTCTTTTTTTAAAAAAGTGAACACCTGCTTTGCCCTGGAGAAAGGCTTAAAAAGTCTTCTGTAATGCTGTACTCACATTATTTCACCTCAGAGGTGCTAACTCTGAATGGGACAGAAATA